CCCTTGATTTACGTTGAATAAATGTCTCAAAGTAAAGATGACACACCTACCTTAACAAATCAATGGTGGGTACAAATATCCCTGATTTACGTTGAATAAATGTCTCAAAGTAAAGATGACACACCTACCTTAACAAATAAACGGTGGGTACAAGTACCCCTGATGTACGTAGAATAAATGCGTCAAAATAAAGATGACACGCTACCTTAACATATCAACGGTGGGTACAAGTACCTATGATGTACGTAGAATAAAAGCCTCAAAATAAATATGACACACCTACCTTAACAAATCAACGGTGGGTACAAGTACACCTGATGTACGTAGAATAAACGCCTCAAAATAAATATGACACACCTACCTTAACATATCAACGGTGGGTACAAGTACCTGTGATATACGTAGAATAAATGCCTCAAAGTAAAAATGGCACACCTACTTTAACAGTACAATTGAAAGTAAAAATACCCTTTATGTGTGTAGAGTAAATGCCTCAAAATATAGAAAATAAACATGTTGAACTTGTTAGAGAGCACAATAAATGTATGAAGACCGTAGTCGTAATTAAAAAACAACACATTATTTGATAATTTTAAGTAAAGTAAAAAAGTTAATAAATATACACCAAGCGATGGGAAATGCAATTAGGTACGTACCTTGACACGTTGATAATTAGTAGAAATATCACAGATATATGAATCATATACTTCGTGCAAGCCATCGTTGTAAATTCACTGAGTCATCTCAAGCTGTTATTGTCCTGAAAGATATTAAGATGTAATATGTTTAGAATTACAATGGAAAAATAAATGAAATTTTCTTTGTAAAGACTTTTCTCTTCATCGGTTAATCGCCCTTCGTTTTTTTTTCGAAGTTTGAAATCATATTTTAACACCTCTCGCCATCTGTCTGCCTTATAGTAAATTTAGATTAATGATCGTGAGCTAGGCGTAATCTAGTGGTTAGCATACTCGGGCTGCGAATCTGGGGATTCCTGATTTGCGTTCTGTTGCAGCGAAGACGCACTTTGGGGCCGTGGATGCGTTAAAAGAATGACAATGAAAGCCTAACTACTATAAGAGTTGACGGTGGCTGCTGCTTACTAGCTGCTTTCCCTCTAGTCTACCAGTTAAAAATTAAGGAAAGTTATTAACACATATGCACGAAAATTCTGAAACAAACAAACAATAAACCTCTGATCATCGAGAAATTTTGTTGTTGCTTGTTTTCGAAACAACAACAATTAAGCTTTCATACTCTATGACTTTGCTATAGGGAATTTTTTATAAGAAAAATGCAAAGAATATGGGTATTTTATTTTTCATAGATGTCGAAATGTAGATCTTTTAAACCTTAGAAATAATCGTCACTTCTCCAACAACAACCAAATCAAGTTTGTTTTTTTATGACAAAATTAAAGTAAAAATATAAATAGTCCAATAGCTGCCATAAGGTGACGTTGGAATCTGTGAATGATCATTTCTTTCATTTTTCTGTTTAGAAATTGACTGCAGAATCCATTACAATTCTAACAAAATACATTGAATTTCAACAGGACTTAGAATATATTTATCATTTTACCATACAACTAGCACCATCTGAATGTGGTTAAGTGTATGAATTTCAATCCAAATGTTAACCTGGAAGTATTATTTTACCCCCCAGTGGCACAGCGGTATGTCTGCGGACTCACAACGCTAAAAACCGGGTTTCGATACCCGTGGTGGGCAGAGCACAGATAGCCCATTGTGCAGCTTTGTGCTTAACTTCAAACAAATAAAAAAGGCATTATTTTCGGACATTCAATGAAAATATGTAATAAGAAAGAAATGCATGTGAATTATGTTTTTAAGTACAAAGCTTTAAACTCGGTTTTTAGTGTCATAATCCTTACCGCTGAGTCAGGTAGATATGAAACTTATGAGGTTAAGAACGTAGGTAGATCCCGTCAAATACTTCTATCTTATTGATTGTTATATTAAAGCAACTATTTTCAATATTACACTAATAATATCTATGACATCAAATATTCTTATTGATTTTTGGGGAATGTTGGTTTTATTTAAAGCACAAATCTCCACAATAGGCTACGTGTGCTGAGCCCACCAGAGAGGTCCATCCCCGAATTCTAGCGTTATATTGGTTGCAGATTTCGAAGCTGGTGAGCCGGGTTTTAATTCTTGTGATCCCAAACGACTTTCCACATTTTATAAGAGTGACAGTCAATCTCTTAGCATGGATGGTTGTTGGTAAGGTGTTGCTAATTGGCTGCCTTCTCGCTGGTCAGTAGCTCAAAATTAGGGACAGAGGCAAATAGTCTTAGTAGGTTTGCTATAAATACAAATACAAATAGCACTATAAGCTTTCAATCTTACCGCTGGGCCACCGGAGGGCATTATTAGAAACAGAACAACTTATAACGGCTCAGTTTACTTTACTATTAAAGATCCGATCCTGGTTAGGTTGTTTTTAATTTCTTTTAATTGCTGGTAGCTTAACGTATGTACAAGTCATAGTATACAGGAACTCAAGGTAGTTACTACTCAAAACAAACTAATACTTCATAAAACTCATTTGCTTGAGTAAATTGTTTTTTTTTTACAGTATTATCTTAAAGTTACTAAAATCATTTATCAAAGTTCAAAACAAAGAGTAAGAAACAAACTTACATCGTTTTTTTTTTTACAATTTTTTAAAGCTTGAGCAAAATAGGCTTATGGGAAACATTTATGCTACGTAGCATGTAGTCTTCGATATCCAGTCGTGATTAGACATATCTTATAAATAAAACTGGGTGGCTTTATAATTTAAAGGGAATATTAATTTCCTTAGTAAATAACTTTATTATTATGAATGAAACTTTTACAGAGGAACACGAACAGGCTGGGACCAAACACACATTTAGAACAATAAAAAATTATAGTAACTAATAAAAAATATCATTTATACTTCAGTTTTTGAAAGTGTCTAATTAGGTATTTAGCATAAACGTACAATAGAAAGGATGTAAAAAGTGAGCCAAGTAAAACAAATTATAGGGCACAACTAGTTTTGCTTGATTAAACTGGCAGTGATTCGTCTCTCAAATCCACTATGGTCTGTAGATGACTTCAAATCCATTTAAAAAGTTGGAAATAAAATTATATGTGAAAGTACTTTCTAATTTAGGGTTACAAATCACTTCCCATCTTCTTTTTCAGGGCTGGACACTTAATAGCACATTGAAATATATTGTAATGTAGGGTTACAAATCACTTGCCATCTTCTTTTTCAAGGCTGACCATTAATTAGCATTTGAAAATTTGTTATAATTTAAAATTGCCTACAATCTTGTTTTTCATCGATGAGTTTAAGGATATATACTGCTAAAATCCGGGGCAGTATAGCTTTGTGCTAAAAAAATAAAGGTATACTACTGGCTGTTTTCCGTATAAAAAAGAAGTTATTGAACGAATATGAAACGTCAAGTATGTCCAAAAAGCAAAGACAGTTATCTGAAGCTTAATTCACATCTAAATAACAGACAATATACAGTAAACCTTCTGAAGTGTTCTTCCACTCAAATCAAATGCTTGAGAAACTGAAACACTGTTTTGTAATGAATGGAGTAGCTTATAGGTGGGTGAATTAATAAATATGGCGTCAAATCAATATTCTTTATGTTCTTGATCGGTATTTAGGTAATTATTTTTTAGACTGAGAATGTCAGGTACAATGTTGACCTCTTCCTCTCTCTTTGGCAGTTGTTTTATGCTTACACTTTCTGATTTTACGGGTAAATACTAATATTACAACACGAGGATCAGTGATTGTGCCAAGTTTCCCGGGCACATACTCTGACCACTATCAAGACCATGTCCAGAGTGGTCCAGTATTTATGGGATTTTTCACCGATACGTTACTGATAAAATTGGCCCTATAGTGTAACAGATCAATTTCCCCCACTGCTCTTTTGTTTGTTTTGATTTTCTCGCAAAGCTAGCCGTCTCTAATTTTGGTGTGATAGACTATAAGGAAGGCAGTTAGTCAACACCAACCACCGCAACCTACAGCTTGTAAGCCGAGTGCCCTAACCACCAGCCCATGCACTTTTCAACTGGTAAAAACATAGACTTGTAGCAATAACACGAACTGATATTTTTACTAGTCTGATGATCTCAAAGATTATTCGAATCCTACGGGTGTAATGATTATTTATAAGGAAGAAACTGGATATCTGATTTCAATTTGTTGTATTTTGCTGCCTACTTGCATGCTTGGAAATCCTAATATTCCCATAAGGTTAGCAGCTACATAGATTATACTTTACTTTCTCTCTGATGATAATTATTTCCAAGTTTATGATATTTCTATTTTTTAATGTTGAGCCTCTTAGGATTATTATAGCAATAAGTCAGAAGCAACAAAAAAGTTTGATTACATTTAATTAATTGATCTTAATACTAATTATACTTTAAGGTATAAGTGTAGTTTGTACCATTAAGAACACTTATTAAGAAATTAACCTAAATCTTGAAATAAATAAAAGACTAATTACAAACTGTTCATCTGGTTTGCAGCAAAAAATAATAGTTTGACTACGTCGCAAAATTCGAGATAAAAACTTTTTTTTATCAAAGGTCTATTACAAAAAAAAATCATTCTGATTTCAAATCTCGAAGTTTATCGCAGGCACGATACTATATAAACAAGTAAATGGTAACAATCGTTTTACTTTTAGAGTTTACAATTTTGTATACCAATCAAATGATTTATTCAATCCATAGAAAAATAAGGTCGTGTCCAAGATGCGTTACAAATGTTGTTATAATTCCAGGTTGGTACGGATAAAAATGATAAACCGTATGATACGTCGAATTGTCCATCATGACTTTAAAAAGTACGTAGGATCAAAAAATAAGTAATAGAAAAAAATTAAACACTAAACCTGTAAAGAAAAAACATCCACCTTTCTAAAGCACGCGGGTTTAAAGTTTTATCTTTTGTTAAATAAAATTGTGGTATCTAAATTCCAGTATTAAGACATAATAAAATTTGCGGTTTATTGATGGGTAGTGTTCGTATGAAATTGAGATTAAAATGTTTTCTCTCGTTTGAAAAATCATATCTTGAATATTCCTAATACGGGTATTAAAAATGTAGAGACTAAGGATTCAAAGATAGGTTAGAGACGGTTACTTTATCTGCACTACTTAAATTTTCATGATTGTTCGTGATGCAATTTTACCTGTGAAATAAATAGCTTCTAAAGTAAAACAAATCGAAAATTTAACACGTAAAATGCACTTATAGTGAGACGAAATTACTTTTTCCTGTTACTTTGTTATCTATAGAATGAAACGTCTTCGTGTTCTTAGATAATTAAATAAAACAAACATTACACTGTTTCCTGTATTTGCTCAGAGACCTTGAAAATTAAAATCGTTTTTTTTTATATTGACTGAAACAATTCATATAAAAATCTGTTTTAATGATGGGATTAGTAGAAAGCTAAATGAAACTTAACACATAGTGTAGTCCATAACAGACCAACGGAATAAGTTGTAACATTTTCTAAAGAAACTAAGGTAAGATTTATTTATTTCTTTTGAGAAAATAGAAATCTAAATGTAAAAGTACTCATGATAAGAATTTGATATCCAGTTAATAAAATGCACAGATATAACTATCATCTATTTATGTTTAAAACACAACCACTCAGTTGTGCTTTACTAATTTCCTCTGGTGGCACAGCGGTAAGCTTGAGGGTCTATTATGTTA